GTTTTTGCTTTTTGATGCAATCAATCACAACACAAAAAATATTTGAAATTAAAGACGATATTTGTTGATTATTTAATAAAAAATAGGTGAGCTTAAAAAGTATATATTAAATATTTTAAAACGCAATAAAAAGGAACTTTCTCTCTCTCTCTCACATTTTTAGGATTTTGCAACCTTTGCATCTAATGTTTTAACAAATAACAATCTTATATATTATTAAATAAAACTTATACTTAATTAGTTAATTGTTTTCTTGCTTGTTTTTTTTATTGTTTTAAAAATAAAAATTGTACATTTATAAAGAAAAATAAAAACAGAAGCAAATATTAAGAACTAATAATATAAAATATATAAGAATGAATGTCTATTGCAAGCTGTTTAAGTTTTTGTAATAAGAATGCAAAAAAAGGAGGCTATCTACAGACTTTGGGCATAATCTATTTCGTTTTTTAGTTATTATATCACCTAATAGGGAAAACGCTCTCTCAGCTGCTGCGCTACTGGCTGGTATTGATAATAGTTTTAAAGCTAACTTTGACAAATGAGGGTAACAGTTTACATTATTTTTCCACCACTCAATTGCCTCAAAATTTCGGGAGAATGGAACTCTTTGTCTACAATATCGTTCAATTTCTTCTAATGGAGTTCCAATACAGTTGGAATTAGACGCAGTTAATAGCTTTGGGAAGAAGAATTCGGTTTTTGAAAATGTTGCTGTCCAAATAAGTTTTGCATTGGGACACCTGAACTTCTGGGTGATATGGTATTTAAAATTTAAAAACTTTTTCAGAAATGCAAAACACCTTAATTTCAAAAATATCTTCTTCCTGCAAATGTGCAGCGGGTGGATATAATATTCTGAATAATTCTAAATTTTTTTAAATGGAAGGCAATACAAAGCATATAGATGGTGAGCTAAATGTTTGCAACTCCTTAAATATCCTCTCAAAATCTTCCAGAAGATCTACCATAACTTTTAATAGTGATTTATTTAAGTCTATATGGATTTCAGTGTCACTTAATATTTTATCCACACTACCCCAGTTATCCAGAATGGACTTAATCATTTTGTAGTTGGAGTTCTATCTAGTCGGACATGCGCTTTTCAAAGTCGTTTTTTAAAGTATACTGCAAATTTGACTTTTTAAAATACTTTACTATTTTTTTTGCATGCTTTAACAATTTTTTTTGATTTTATTGGCCTCGTGAAAAGATTTTTCTAAAACATTTGACATCAGGTGACTGCTACAATTTAAACGGGGTTTTCCCTCTAAAGCCTTTTTTACAATTGCTCCCCTGTCAGTCACAAACATTATCAATGTTCTCAACATTAAATTCCGAAAATAAGCACTTAATTTTCATTAAAATGTCTCGGCAGTCGATTTTTGAAAATTCATGGATTTGAGTCCCAAATTAATGTCACAAAGTTTAAAGTCCTTTTCGTAATGGAAAGTGATGCCCAAAAAGTTTCTTTGGACATACTCGTCAGTCCACACGTCTACTGTCGCACTTGCTCCTCCGCTATCCACAGCTTTTTTTATCTCGGACAAGGTTAGACTCCTCTTCTCTTCTGTATCCGAT